CCCCCCCATTTCCCCCTGGGACCCCCAGCACTATTTCCCCCCTTTCCCCACTTCGGAGCAGAAATCGCTGCCCCTTCTCCCCTGCTCTGGGCCCTTTGTTCGCAGCTCTCCCAGCCCCTGACCCCCCATAACTCCTCCCCACGCCCCCGTTTCCCCCGCAGGCCCCAGCATGGGGCTGAAGCCCTGGCAGAAGGCGCTGTTCCCTCTCCGCTCCGTGGCCGCCGTGGTTCGGCTCTTTGAGGCCGAGCTGCGGCAGCCCGAGCCCGACCTGGTGCTGCTGTCGCTGGTGCTGGGTTTTGTGGAGCATTTCCTGGCCGTCAACCGCGTCCTCCCCACCAATGTCCCCGGGCTCACCTTCGAGTCTCGGCCCGGGCCGGACCCCCACACCCGGTTGTACTTCCCGGTGGCCGAGCTGTCCATCGTGGCCGCGCTCTACGCCCGCTTCACGGCGCAGATCCGGGGGGCCGTGGATCTGTCCCTGTACCCCCGGCCCGACGGCTGCTCCTCCCGGGAGCTCGTCAGGAAAGTGTCCGATGTCATCTGGAACAGCCTCAGCCGCTCCTACTTCAAGGACCGGGCTCACATCCAGTCCCTCTTCAGCTTCATCACGGGTGAGGAAGGGTCCTCAGGGGGGGGTTCGGTGGGGCCGGGGTCCCACCTGGAGCAGCTTCACCTGCTCCTACTTCAAGGGACGGGTGGGCGTCGTGTCCTTCCCCAGCTTTGTCGCTGCTGGGGGCGTCCCTCATTCCCGTGTCCCTTCACTCTGGGGTGATGGGGGGGTTCGGGGGGGCTCTGCGTGTCCCTGAGCCCCCCCTGTGTCCCCCCAGGTACGAAGCTGGACAGCTCAGGTGTGGCCTTTGCCGTGGTCGGGGCCTGCCAGGTGCTGGGGCTGCCGGACGTGCACCTGGCCCTGAGCGAGGACCACGCCTGGGTGGCCTTTGGGGCCGGGGGGTCCCAGACTGCCGAGGTCACCTGGCATGGAAAAGGCAACGAGGACAGGAGGGGACAGCCCGTGCAGGCCGGGGTGGCCGAGAGGGTACGGGGGACAGGGGGGCCTGGGAGGGGTCATGGGGACAGGGGGACGAGGACAGAGGGTCCCCACTGGGACAAGGATGGGGGTGGGGGACGGGGGGGGACACTGAGGAGCCCCTGGGACAGGCAGAGGAGGCACAGGTGGAGTCGTGTCCCCTGTGTCACCTGTGCCACCTGTCCCCCAGAGCTGGCTGTACCTGAAGGGCTCCTACCTGCGCTGCACACGGCACATGGAGGTGGCGTTCATGGTTTGTGCCATCAACCCGTCCATCGACGGCCACACCGACAGCCTGGAGCTGCTGCAGCTGCAGCAGGTGTGGGGCAGGGCTGGGCCAGCTGTGGGGCAGGGCTGGGCCAGCTGTGGGGCAGGGCTGGGCCAGCTGTGGGGCAGGGCTGGGCCAGCTGTGGGGCACCCCCACATCTCTCTTTCTTCTCCCCCCCCTCCAGCGCCTGCTGTGGCTGCTCTACGACATGGGGCACCTGGACAGGTGAGAGGGACCCCTGCCCCGCCATGGGGCTGCCCCCTAAGCTGCCCTGGGGCTCCCCCAACGCCCCTTGGGGCCGCCCCCCACCTGCCCCACAGGTACCCCATGGCGCTGGGGAACCTGGCTGACCTGGAGGAGCTGGAGCCCACCCCTGGCAGACCCGACCCCCTCACCCTGTACCACCAGGTGATGATGAGGGGGTGTTTTGAGGACTCGGGGGCGTGGCCAGGTGAGCTCAGGTGTGTCCTGACCCCTCCCTGCCACCCCCAGGGCATCCACTCAGCCCGCACCTACTACAACAACGAGCACATCTACCCGTACCTGTACCTGGCCGGGTTCCACTGCCGCAACAAGAACGTCAAGGAGGCCCTGGAGGCCTGGGCTGACACGGCCACCGTCATCCAGGAGTGAGTGGGGGGCTCTGGGGGGGGACTTTGGGGTCCTGGGAGGGCCCTGTGGGGTCCTGCTGCTCCCCCGGGGCTGGGCTGGGGGGAGCTCCCTCCCTCCAGGGGGGCGTTCAGAACTGGGGGGGCCCTTGGGGGTCACCAGCTCCTGTTTTTTGGGGGGGGTCCATACCCCCCCTGCGACTGGGTGCTGCCTGCTCGGGGTTGGGTTCTTGGGGTCCCCCTGTCCTTTGTGGGCTCTGCGTCCTCTTTAGGGGTGCCTATGGCTGTGGGGCAGCCCCCCAAGCCCCCCTGCCCCCTCCCCAGCTATAATTATTGCCGTGAGGATGAGGAGATCTACAAGGAGTTCTTTGACGTGGCCAACGATGTCATCCCCAACCTGCTCAAGGAGGCGGCGGCCGAGCCCCCCCCGGGGGCTGAGGTGGGACCTGCACTTGGGGACCCCCAGATTTGGGGGACCCCTGGGTGGGGGAGCCCTGCCTGGGGTGGCTTTGGAGGGGGGGATGTCCCCAGGGTATAAGGGGTGGGTCCTGCCCGTGGTTGGGGGGGTATTTTGGGGGTTCCCCCACATCTGGGGGAGTCTGAATTTGGGGGTCCCCGGGGGCAGACACCTTCCCAGCACCCAATGTAATGGGGTGATGGTGCCCCCACCCTTGTTTTTGGGGTTCCCCCACACCTTTGGGGTCCCCCTCTGACCCGGGGGTCCACAGGGGGCCCCCGGGGGTCTCCCAGCCCTGCAGGACCCCGAGTGCTTCGCTCACCTGCTGCGATTTTACGACGGAATCTGCAGGTGGGAGGAGGGGAGCCCCACCCCCGTCCTGCACGTGGGCTGGGCCACCTTCCTCGTGCAGTCCCTCGGCCGCTTCGATGGCCAGGTGAGGGTTTGGGGGGGTCACCTGGGGGTTTGGGGGGGTCACCTGGGGGTTTGGGGGGTCCCTCCCGTGTCCGGCCTGGGGGCTGGGCCACCTTGCCTGTCCAGTTCCTGGTCACTTTGGTGGCCAGGTGAGGGGTCCTGAGTGGGTTCTGGGGGGTTCCCAGTGTCCTCTTTGGGGCATCCCTGGGGATTTTGGGGGGTCCTGAGCGGGTTCTGGGGTCCCCATGTCCTCCTTGGAGGGTCCTGACCAGGTGCCGTGTTCCCCCATCTCATTTTTGGGACATCCCTGGTATTTTGGGGGTGTCCTGAGTGTGCTCTGCACTCCCCCTCGTCTTCCTTGGGGTCCCCTAAAAACCTCTAGGGGGGCTCCAGGTCCTCTCATGACCTTGTGACCCCCCAATGTCCCTTCCCCGGTGCCCCCCGTGTCCCCCCAGGTACGCCAGCAGGTCACCCTGCTCTCAGAGGACCCTGCCCCGCCCGAGGCAGATTTGGGGGGCCCCGAGGACCCCCGCGATTGTCGCCGCCGGGGTCCCCGCCGCGAATCCAAACCCGAGGAGCCGCCCACCCCCAAAAAACCCACGGAACGCCGCCCCCCTCCCCGAGCCCCCCGCCCCGAGGAGACCCCAGCAGCACCACCAGCACCCCCACCACCCCCCCCAGCCCCCGCACCCCCTGCGGCCCCCCCGGCCCCCGGCACCCCCGGGACCCCCGGGCCGGCCCCGGCCGCGCCCCCTCCCCTGCCCCCGGGCCCGGTGCTGCGGTTCCGCTCGCAGAAGATGCGGGGGATGAAGGAGCTGCTGCGGGCGGCCAAGGTCAACTCGAGCGCCATCAAACTGCAGCTCACGGCCCAGTCCCAGGTGCAGCCGCGCCGACCCCGAGCCCCCCCCGGCGCCTACCCCCTGCCCTTCCTCAAGAGACCCCGGAAAGGCTCGTAGGGATCCCCCAAAAAAATCCCAGAAAATCCGAAAATCCCAGCCTGGAGCGGTCCCGGGTGCAGCCGCCTCTTCCCATTTCTCAGCAGAGCACAGGAGGGTCCCAAAACAATTAGGAATCCCAAAAATCGCCAAGATACCCAGCGCCCCTTCCTCAAGAGACCCCGGAGAAGTTGGCGGGGATCCCCAAAAAATCCCAAATCCCAGCCTGGAAGTGTCCCGGGTGCAGCTGCCCCAAGCTCTTCTGAGCAGACCAAGGAGGATCCCAAACCAGTTGGGAATCCCAAAAATCCCAAGGAGAGACAGTGCCCACCCCTGCCCTTCCTCAGGAGATCCCGAAAAGGTTCACAGGGATCCCCAAAAAAATCCCCAAATCCCAGCCTGGACCTGCCCTGGGTGCGGCCGCATCCTCCCTTCTCTCAACAGGTTCCAGACAAAGTTTTCTCCCCAGAATGGGAGTGCAGGAATTTGGGGTGGAATTAGGGCAGGAGAAGGGGGGGCTGGGGGGGTACAGTGGGGGGGGGGGGGAAGAGTTGGATTTAGGGGAGCAGGGGGGACTCGGGCAGAGGATTTTGGGGAAATTATTTCAGTTTGGGGGTGCGCCACACGAGGCCTTTGGGACCCCCAGAACGGACTTTGGGGGGTCCCGGATTTGGGGGATCCGGGCGGGAGGGGGGGAACAAAAGGAACCCGAGGAGGTTCCAAGACCCCGGATGAAGGGGAGGCGATTTAATAATTAATAATAAAGTGTCGCTGGCTTTACCGAGCGCCTCGTTCTGGTTTTTTTGGGGGGTGAGGGGGGAACGGACCCCTCTGAGGGGGCGGCTCCCATGATCCTCCGCGCGCGGGCGAATCCCGCGATGCTCCTCGAGAGGTTTTGGCGGGCCGCTCTCCACACCGCCCTCCAGCCCCAGCTCGACCAATCAGCGCGCGTCTTTCTTGAGCGACAGCGGAGGCAGCCAATCGGCTGTGCCCGGCCAAAGTCTGCTGCGAACGTCACTCTCGCCCGGCACGGGGTCTCCCGCTGTCCCCCGCCGGGGGCGCAGGGCGGGGCGTGGCGCTGCCAATGGCGGCGGATCCCCCGCGGCGTGTCCCGCCCTCCGCCGCGCCACCCAATTACCGCTCCGTGTTCTTGCTCCCCCTTCCCCCGCGCTCCGCCTGAGCGACGGCCCCGACGGCCAATCCCCTCCGCCAGCGCCTCAGCGCCCGCCCCCGCCCTCGCTTCGGCCCGCTGGCCAATCCCCGCGGCAGCTGCTCTGATTGGCAGCTCTTTCAGCCAATAGACGCGTGCGCTTCTGTTGAGTGACGCGCGGCTCAGCGAATCGGAGCGGCGCGCGCGGCGCGGCGGCGTGGAAGGTTCGCGAAGGCCGCACGGGGGCCGTTCTATGGCGACCGGGGCGAGCGCGGCCCAGCCCGGCCCCGCTCCCGGCCCCGCCGCCCCCCGCGCCCCCATGGCCGCCGCCGCTTTCCCTTTCGCGGCGCTGCCGCCACCGCCGCCTCCTCCTCCGCCGCCTCCGCCACCTCCGCAGCCGCAGCCGCCGGCGCAGCCGCCTCCGCCGCCACCTCCGCCTGCGCAGGCCCCGGGCGGCCCCGCGGCCCCGCAGCCCCCGGGCGGCCCCGCGGCCCCTCAGCCGCCTCCCGCCGCTCCTTACGGGCAGTTCCGCTTCCCGTCGCCGCCGCCCGGCCATGACCCGCCCGCAGCCCCCGCGGGGGCTCCGCCGGCCGCCCCCGCCGCCCCCCCCCAGCCCGCGGGGGCTCCGCAGCAGCCGCGGCCCGAGGAGGGCGCGGGGGGCGCGGGCGCCGGCTCGGGAGATGCGGGGGGACGGGCGGGAGCCGCGCACAAGCCCCGGAGGGCAGGTACGGCCCGGGGCGGGGGGGATAGCGGGGGGTTCGTGGGGTGGGGGGCGACCATCGGGGAAGCGGGGGCGTTTTTGGGACCCCCGGGAGGAAGCGAAGCCCGGGTTGGGGTCGCGGGAAGGGTCTGGGGGGCGTCCCCGGGCTATAACCCCCCCGTTTTGGGGGTCAGGGATTTAAATCCTCCCGACTGGGGGGGTCCTCAGATTGTAAGCCCCCGATTTGGGGGTCGCCGGGTTGTAACCCCCCCTGATTTGGGGGTCCCCGGGCTCTGATCCCCCCGGTTCAGGGGTCCCGCCGCTCTCTCGTTCCCCCCCCCGCCGGTCGCGACACGTGTCAGGACACGCGAGGCCAAGGTGGAGTCCGGGGAGGCGAGGGGAGCCCTTGGAACGGGACCCCCAAACCCCCCAAAATCACCCCCAGATCCCCTGTCAGAAACAGCGACCCCTCCCCATATCCCCACCGCCACCACAACGCTTCATTGCGACCCCCAAAAACAACCCCGGGACCCCCAAAACCCCCTCCCCGCACCCCCCCGTGTCCCTCAGGAAGGGTCTGTGCTGCCGGGTTTGCCCAAATCTCGGCGTTTTCCCCGCAGATTTCCCGCGGAAGCGGAAGCGCAGCCGCTGGAACCAGGACTCGCTGGAGCAGAAGACGGTGATCCCGGGGATGCCCACGGTGATCCCGCCCGGGCTGACCCGCGAGCAGGAGCGCGCCTACATCGGTAACGGTTTGGGGGCAAAAAGAGCGCGTTTGGGATTCCCCGAGCCCGGGTTTGGGGTCAGGACACGAGGTTTGGGGTCAGATTTGTTCGCCCACCCTCCCGAGGCTCAGGTGCGAGCAGGAGCATCCATAACAGTCTAGGGGGAAGATGGGATTTTGGGGTCAGAACCTGCAGGCTTTGGGTTAAAATCAC